ATTGGGATGGGAAGGGAGAAAGGGTTAAGAGTAGAAGAAAACCACAATTATAGTTAACTAGAGGCCCAGAGCATGAAATTTGTGCACTGGAGGGGGGGGGTCGTCCCTAAGCCCAGCTTGTGCCCTCTCATAGTCCTGGAGCCCGTGATTGATCACCCCAAAGGGAGCAAAGGGAGGCTCCGCCCACCCACCACAGCACCACTGCCGAGTAACCTGAGCCTCCCTCTGCAGGGCGATCATGGGGCGATGGCCAGGTCCCCAACCAATCGCATTGCACCCGCCTTGGCTGGCCTGGTGCCAGTGGGTGTCATAGCATGGTCATCTGGAAGGTCGTTCTGCTGATTGGACTTTCGGTCGATTTGCATGTTACACTTTTGTTGTTATAGATGAATCTGGCCTACTTTTCCAAAGGGACTCTTCAGGTGATGAATGAGGCCCGCTGTCTGAGTTGTGTAGGAGACGCTCAGGGTGCTAGTGACGTCTAAGAATCCCCCCCCCCCCTGGGATTGGACAGCAGGAGGCGGGAGTAATGCCACCGTACATTGACTGGGTCTCAAAGGTGAGAGTTGTGGGCCCCGATTGGCTCAAGACAAGCCATGTTGTTGCCTGAGCAAGACAGCAGGACTCCAGTGGTGGGTTTGTCTTTTCTCCTGGTCAGCGGCGGTGACCTGAGCCTTCCTTGGAGAGAGAGCCTCTGTTTAGGTGACTGTTAACCGGGTGGTCTGTCTGGTGCTTGTGGTAGCTCTGGATCTTTCTACTTCTCCTCAAGGAGCTCATTGATGTGATTTCAGACCCTATCCTCACTCAAAAGAATATGCCATCTTGCTCTGTGCGGAGTATCTTGCAAGACACAGTGCTGTGTCCGTTTTTACTCTGCTGGTTCCAGATGTCTCTAGCAGCCCTGCTTTTCCGCAGATGCTTGGGCAGTGTGTGAGCATGAATACCCTTTCTGTCCTGCAGAGGCTGTGAGAAGCTCTGCCCGAGTGTTTGAGAGTTAACCAGCATTCACTGAGCAAGCCCTCTGTGCGGCACCGATTGTGCCACTTACAGAGACTGTACAAGAGATTTTGCTGACCTCAAATGTACTTACAATCTGGAGGGGAAATAGCAGAGGTGAATTCAGAGGCCTGTTCAGGAAGACCACCAAAGAAAATGAGAAGATAAGCAAAACAGTGTTTTGAGTTCTGTTTCTTCAGACGTCTCTGTTGAGATTGGCAGCTTGAGTGGCCCAGAGACTGCCATCCACCATTTACAGACATGTGCTATTTTGAGATTGAGTCTGTGGTTTGGGAAGGATTTAGAACCATTTCAACAAATGCTTATTGAGTGTGCAAAGTGCCGTGGTAGGCACAGGGAACACCAACAAGTATAAAGTTATAGCCTCTGCTTCTAAGGAACTGCTCCTTAATGTTTGGAAAGGCAGGGCATGTTTAAGGTTTTAAAAATATTAAGATATATGTCTTCATAGGAGGAAAGCAGAATTGTCAACACAGTAGAAATATATACTAAACTGTTAACCCCTCTGGGGAGTGGGGCTTGGGTGGTGGACGAAGAGGAAGGATCTTCACTTTTTTGTATACATTTCTGTGTGGTTGGACATTTTTACCAAGTGCCAGTATGGAATTATTTTTGGAATTATTTCTTCATTAGCTAAAACAACAACAACAATAGAGACTAAAAGATTATAAACATAGTGTTAGCCTTGAATATCTTTGTGTGATAGGATTATGAAAGATTTATATTCATTATACCTCCCTTTTGCCTACATTTTCTGTAATGGATATATATTATTTTATAAGTAGAGAAAGAAAGTATTTGAAAACCAAAACCCAAAAGCACCTACAATGATTACTAATACTGCGTTTTAGCCCTGGTTGGTGTGGCTCGAGCACCAAAGGGTGTCAGGTTCAATTCTCAGTCAAGGGCATGTATCTGGGCTGCAGGTTCAGTCCCGGGCCCTGGACAGGGTACATGCAGGAGGCAACCAATTAATATGTCTCTCTCACATTGATGTTTCTCCCTCTTTCTCTCTCTCTCTTGCTCTCTTTCTCTCCACCCCCCTTCCTTCCTTCCTTCCCTCCCTTCTACTCTCTCTAAAAATCAATGGAAAAATATCCTCAGGTGAGGATTAACAAAAAAAATATAACTGCATTTTAATATGTTTACCATATTTTGGATACAGTACACCAGCTCTCCTTTTTTTTTTTTTTGTCTCCTCACTCTTACTACAACTCTATTAAGGTTGTTCTATTACTATTATTATTATTATTTTCCGGTCAAGGGCATGTACCTTGGTTGCAGGCACATCCCCAATAGGGGTGTGCAGGAGGCAGCTGATCGATGTTTCTCTCTCATTGATGTTTCTAACTCTCTATCCCTCTCCCTTCCTCTCTGTAAAAAATCAATAAAATATATTTAAAAAAAATATCATTATCTACTATTATTACTACTATTATCATTATCAACCACTATTTTAAATGTGAAAGAAGGGCATTTGCCCTCGTTTCTGAGAACCTTGTCATTTTGAGAGGGCCTAGGAGCAAAAGGAATCTAGTTATTAACCTGCACCTGTACTGTGAAGGCTGCCTAGAAAAATTGGTTATGCTGGTTGGGTTACAGTTGTAGCTGTCAGTGTGGGCTGTGATCCCTTGTTTTAAAGCATCCTAAGAATACTTTCTACATATTTATATTTAGTTCTGTTTGAGAAAGCAAGGAGATTACCCCATCTCCCCATCTGGTGCAGTGAAGAAAGCTCATCTGCCTGGCTTACTTTGTATAATTAATTTTTAAACTTCTGGTAGAATGTCTTTAAGCATATCTCAGAATTAAAATCTCCAAGTTATTTGTAGTTTAAGTTAAGTAGTTAAATCCTGTCCTGCAAATTTTGTTCAGGGAATCCAAGTCCCCTAATAATTATGAATTTAATTACTTTGAAAATAATAGTGTTCTGAATTATTTAAGGGAGTCAAAGACTGAAGGAAAGATGTCATTTGTAAATGAATTTCTTTTTTCCCCCTTACAGCATGTATTTGATGATCTCAGTGGCTCAGTATCCTTGTCTTGGGTTGGAGATAGCACTGGGGTAAGTAATATTTTGAGGCTGTGAATTCAACTAAGCAAGAAGAACATGTAGATGTGGGGAGTTTATGCACTAAGTGTTGTTATTTTCTGAAACTGTTTCCAACCTCAGACACAGAAATACATGTTTCCAGGACAAACTCTCAGGAAACTGTGGTTGGCTTGGTTTTGCTTTAGAACGGGAAACATCCTGTAACCACCCTCTTCCATAATGGGAAGATAGACACCTTTTGAGTCCTTGGTGGCTGCTTGGCATCAAGATGAGCAAGAAGAAGAAAGAGGGAAGCGTGTGCTGTATGCTGAGAAGTGAGCCGCCTCCCCTCTGGTATTCCATGAATGTATGCCTCATAGCATTGAGGCACACGATGGCTATGTCAGGAATCCAAAGAAATATTGGAGCTGAAGAGCAAATTATAAATTAATTATCTTAATTAATTTTTAAACTTCTGGTAGAATGTCTTTAAGCATGTCTCAGTTTCTTCTAAAATTGGAGTTGTGCTCTAATTTCCATGATTTATCCATTTATTTAAGATAGTTGGTATCACAAGATTTCTTGTTACATGGCCATTTGAGACTCCCTCTCAGAATTTGTCCTCATGCATATTTTTATCTAGAAAATATTTAAGAAATTAATTTCATGAAGAACTGAGAGCATGGAGGAGAAAAGGAGGGATATATGTGACACAGTGACCTTTGAGCACCCATAGTGCTCTAGCCTCCTGTACACAGAAAAGGAACTGATTCTTGCCTGAGGATATCTTATACTAATACTAGAGGCCCAGTGCACAAAATTTGTGCACTGGGGGGGCAGGGGGCGCCCTCAGCCCAGCCTGCACCCTCTCCAATCTGGGACCCCCTCGAGGGATGTCTGACTGCCAGTATAGGCCTGATCCTGGTGGGCCTAAACAGACAGTCGGACATCCCTCTCACAATCCAGGACTGCTGGCTCCTAACCACTCGCCTGCCTGCCTGCCTAATTGCCCCTAACCACTTCTGCCTGCCAGCCTGATTGCCCCCTAATTGCTCCCCTGCTTGCCTGATTGATGCCTAACTGCTCCTCTGCTGACCCAATTGCCCCCCGGCTGCCCTCCCCTGTCGACCCAGTTGCCCCCATCTACCCATCCCTTACTGGCCCGATCACCCTCAACTGCCCTCCCATGCCGGTCCGGTTGCCCCCAACTGCCCTCCCCTGCCGGCCTGGGCGCCCCTA